TAAAATAATTTAAGACAGCAGAGAAGATAATTCTGTTTTAATTGTTTATTACTAAGACTTAAATAAAAAGTGAGCTATTTTTACTGTAAATTTATGATGTCTCTAGTCTGGTCAAAGGGTCAGAGTGTCCTACTTAATCAAACGATAAATTGTTGAAATTAGATAACATGTTTTCACGTGCAGAGAAATTTCAAATATGACTATTGCATGATTGGATTACATCTTTCTTATTGGTCAATGATCTTGCGGGGTCAGCACGAGTTCACATGTAAGTGCGTTGTGGTCACTTTCTTTTATCATCAGCATTTGATGTGTTAACTTGTGATTCAAACAATTTGTTAAATATTCCCACCCACATACCTCCCTTAATGTTATCTTTTGAAGTAGATATGTATATATGTTTATTTGAGGGGCAGATTTTTCTCCCCACCTTTGCTATTCTTTGTCATTTATTCAATTGATATGATATTAGTTGATGTAATTTCGTAGTAATTATGTATTATTATTTCATATTAAATATGAACTTTTATGTCAAATGTTTTATTTGCAAAATGTATTTTTTGCATTTTATGATTTTGAATAAATGACCTTTTTCCGTCAGTTTAGTTTTTATATCATATAGCAAATGAATCTCAGACTCTGGCCTGTGTATACATAATATGTTTATGGTATCTAGTTGTCTGTCTAAAAATAAAGTTCGTAAACTTTCATTTCATGCAGTGGTCAGTTCACTTTGGTTTGGGCATTTTAAACTATTGTGTCTTTCCTTACCTTTTTAAAGCATTACTGTGAAGTATACCATCTGATCGAAGGGTGGATAGCTTCATTGTTTTCTGTTTGCAGTTTGAGTACTTTGATCTTGCTTTCCGTAACTACGAACATTCGTATCTATATTTGTGTTATTGCTTTGCTTGAATTTGTGATTTTGTTTTCTAAAAACTCTAAAAAAAAATCAGGGTTAACAATGTACATTGCGAAATGTCATGTTTGATGTTTTGAAAAAGAAAAACGATATACTGATTGATACTGATTATCATTTTTTCATAGATATATGATTTGTTATTAGTTGTTATTGGCATTTAACTAGCTCATAGTAACTGCGAGTATTCTCAGATTGGTACTGTGTGTTTTTAGTCATTTTGTTAGTTCTTTTAATTCATTGTTTGATTCCGCCATACTCCGTAAGTGCATTTCCAAGGTTAGGAGCCTGTAATTCAGTGGTTATCGTTTGCTGTTGTATATCATATTAACTTTTCGTTTGTTGCTGTATATCAATTTTTCTTTTCGTTTATTTTATTTAAAATACATTGGGACGTTGTTTTTTTTGTATGAATTGTTGTACATTTTGTCATGTCTGGGCTTTTTATGGCTTGCTATGCGGTGTGGGTTTTGCTTCCTGTCAAAGGTGGAAAGTTGCCTATTGTATCACACATCTACGTCGTTTGGTCTCTGGTGGATATCTGTGCCATTGGCGACCATACCACATCTCCTTATTTTATACTAGATATTAAGTGATATTTTACTTTTTTCTTTCATTTACAGAATAACATTAATAAGGGATAGATTAGTATTGACCGGAGCTCATAATCGGTGTTTAGCTTATTCACCTTTTTATTTAAAATAGGGTCGTTAAACCTAGATATGTAGACGATATATTAAGTCTTTTTTACTGCTAAAGACCAGGTTGTGCCCCGAGTCCTCTTTTCCTTGTATTTATAACGGCAATTAATATTGATATATCGCTCTTTTGCTCCTTTTTGTGTTTCTATTTGCAATTGATGTTTTTCAACGCTTGTTCTGATTACTGTTTTGTTTGATATTCTTGAGCAAATTTTAATCTTTTATTGAAGAAAAGTTCAGAAATCATCGCGCATTCTCGCAAAATTTGACGCAGAAATTATTAAGCCGTTTTGTGACAGGTGTTTCCAATTGACCGTAAATTATGTAAATCTGATATTTTGGAAAACAAATTATGTACGCATTACAAAAAAACGTCACTTTTTGTGGCGTGGATACATTCGTATGACGCACAGTTTTTAATTCGTTTATGGTGTCCTGGTGTGTTGTCGTGGATTCATGGAAGGTTTCCGTTGTTATTCTGTGGTTTACATGTTGTAATGTACTATTATAATATTCAATTATGCGTTTGCCTGTCCTGAGTGTTCTTGTGTTTATTTGTACTGTATTCATGTCACGTAATGTTGACATTTTAGCGGTATTTTTAACATTGCCATAAAAGCGGGAGGTTTGGCTAGCCATTAAACCAGGTTCAACCCATCATTTTTCCATAAAATGTCTTGTACCAAGTCAGGAATATGGCATTTGTTATCAAGTAGTCCGGTTCTATGTATGTTGGCGTTTGTTTTTGTTGCAATTCAGTGTTTATGTTGTTTCGTTGTTTTCCTCTATAGTTGATATGTTTCCCTCGGTTTTGGTTTGTGACCCGGATTTGTTTTCGCTCAATCGATTGATGACTATTGAACAGCGCCTTTATTTATACTTGCATTATCATGGTTGATCATTTTTAAAAAGCTGAATGAAATTGAAAAAAAAAATATGTAGGATATTCAAGATTATCGCTCGAAAATATAGGTATATCTGAACACAAAATAGTCCTGTGCTTTAATCAACGGGTATTTTTCGATTGACCATTATAAATATGCAAACAGAAAGTTCATGACTAACATTTGTAAAACTATTCTATAAAGTAGTACTGTATTGTGTTGTATAAATTATGTTTGTTGAAAAATTTATAAGAAAATAAGAGGCCAGTGGAACAATCACACGCAAAAGCAATTTTGAATAATATATAAAAAAAATATTAAAAAAAAATAGGGTTTTCCAGATTTCGAGGAAAGTGTCCTAAATCATAAAAAAATATTGACCTAATCTAGACAAAAATAGATCAGACAATAATAAATTATAAAAACATTCGAACAAATATACCTGCATTGTGATATATTGTTTCTTTGGCTAAAAATCTCTATGACAAAAAGAATTTTTTTTTTTTGCATTATATATCAAACAAAAGAAGCCCTTTAGCTCTTTATATCAATAGATACGTCTTGACTTGTTTTCTTTATTCGACGAAATAATCCGAAATTATCGAACTTTACTCACGAAATCTGACGCGAACATTTTTGAGACATTAAGTAATAGGTATTTCCAATTGACCGTCATTAATGATGTAAACCTGATGTTTCATAAAAAATTATTTTAGCATTGTTTACGCAAATTTAACTGCATTGTGAGTTTTGGATTATCATTTTTAACAAGCGGAATGAAAATGAAAAAAAGGGATATCAAGTTCGAGACTATCACTCGATAGAATAGGCATATCTGAACAAAAACAAGATCCTGCGCTTTTATCAACAAGTATTTCCGATTGACCGTTAGAACATATTCAAATGGGAAGTTTATCACCTTAGCCGTATTTGGCACAACTTTTTGGAATTTTGGGTCCTCAATGCTCTTCAACTTTGTACTTGTTTGGCTTTATAACTATTTAGATCTGAGCGTCACTGATGAGTCTTATGAGGACGAAAGCGCGTCTGGCGTATTAAATTATAATTCTGTACCTTTGATAACTATTTACACCACTGGGTCGATGCCACTGCTGTGGACGTTTCGTCCCCGAGGGTATCACCAGCCCTGTAGTCAGCACTTCGATGTTGACATGAATGTCAATTATATGGTCATTTTAGTAAATTTCCTGTTGACAAAACTTTAAATTTTTCGTAAAACTAAGGATGTTCTTATCCCAGGAATAGATTACCTTAGTCGTATTTGGCACAACGTTTTGTAATTTTGGGTCCTTAATGCTCTTCAACTTTGTAATTGTTTGGCTTTATAACTATTTAGATCTGAGCGTCACTGATGAGTCTTATGAAGACAAAACGCGCGTCTGGCGTATTAAATTATAATCCTGGTACCTTTAATAACTATTAAGACAACTAATTGTCAAACTGTTCTAGCAAATATAACTTATTGTGAGGTATGGATTAATTTTGTTCAACAGTTTAATGGAAAATAAGTGGCCAAAAACAATAAAAATCACAAGTAAAAGCAATGTGGGATAAAAACAATGTGTGTACTGATTTCGAGGAAGGTCTCCAAAATTATTGGAAATATTGTCCAAATCTGACAAAATGGGTCAGCGTATTTACCAACAAAAATTCCAATTGACTCGCTGAAAGTTAACTTGAAGTTTCTTTCAATAAACATGATAAAATGTAAAAAGGTAAATTAAAAAAAGAGGGGAGTCCATATAACCTTATAAAAGACTTTATCAACCAACGGACCAAAATGTAAACAATTCAAATCAAATATAACTGCATTATGATGTATTAATTTCGAAAATCTAAACACAAAAATTCTATTTTTTACCTTATGAATTGATCAAGCGCAATAGTGATTTTTTTACAGGTATTTCCAATTGATCGTCAGATATTTTTCAATTGTTTTTGTAATTTTTAGAAAACAAACTATGTTAACAACATTGACGCAAATGTAACTGGTTTGTGAATTATCAATTTCATTTTCAACCTGAATTAAAAGGGAAAAATTATGTAAGAAAGTTGCGAAAATATGGGCATATCTGAACGAAAAAAATGTGTCTGCGCTTTTCTCCACATGTTTTTAGATCGACCGTTAAAATATGCAAACAGGAAGTTTACGACAAACAATTGTAAAACCATTCTGTCAAATATAGCTTCATTGCAAAGTATGGATTACTTTTGTTGCAAAGCTTAAAGAAAAACAAGTAACCAGGTAAAATTAATCACACGCAAAAGCGATGTGGAATAAAAAAAAAAAAAAAAAAAAAAACACACGTTGTTTTCTGATTTTGAGGAAAGTCGATAATATTGACCAAATCTAAACAATAATGGATCTACGCTTTTACCTAAGATATCTTTGGTTGACCGTCAAAGCTATTAATTTGAAGTTGTATATCATAACATTATGATTAAATCATTAAGCAAATAATAGTTTTGAAACAGATTTATTTGTTCATTGATTATGAAAACATGATAATGCGTTCCAAAGTAGTGTTGTTGGTTTTGAAAGGTTACCACCAAGTTGTAGAAACTAAGTGCATTTGTTTAATATTTTGTATTAAACGTTTTACTGTTAATGCCGAATCCCCGCCTAGCCAGTATCTGATCATAGAAAAAAGCGAGAGAGGATGTATTTCACTCGAACTAGAGGATGTGTTTTAATTGATTTTGTTTTTAAAATACGACTATTCTTAGATTGGTATTATGTTTGTCTTTTGTCTTTTTTATTGTTGTGGTTTGTTTGTCATGTCAATCTGATAAGCCAAGTACTTTCAAACTTATGTTTACAGTTTTTTCTAACGCGATGCTGTAACACAACACCCGTAGGTTAAGAGATTGGATCAGCGGTCACAAACAAAATTAACCCTATCATATTATGTATGTTCCAATGCAGGATTCTGTTATTGCGTAGTTGTCGTTGGTTACTGTCTGACATATTTGTTATTCATTTGTTCTTTTAATTTTCCGAATGTGTCTTATTCGCTAGAGTGACATGTTGACTGAATGTGGTTTCGCTTGCGTTTGAAGCATGCAAAGGAGAAGATAATGAAATACGGCTTTCTTTTTGTCATGAAATTTGCTGGTACAAATTGTTGAAAGCATTTTAAAATGAGGAATATTTCTCTTGATCCTTTGTTCAGGTTTAATTTTCTTTTGGTCCTTTGTTATATATCAGCTCTCCACTGTTTGTATTAGACTTTTAATTTTCGAATGATTTGGCTTCAAGCATTATTTTTCGAAATACACATTTGGTACAGTAGACTTGGTACCATTTATTTCATTGCCTTACTCCTTTTTTAAATAATGCAAATTCTTGAGATTTAGTTTGATACCTTAGTCTCAACGATCAAAATGAATATATTAGATTTGAACATGATAAAACTTCTGACGAATCTTTTCTTTTATTTTACCTATCAATTATTGTCTATTGGTGTCTGATGGATATTTGTCTCATTTGGAATCTTACCATAGCACCTTAAATTTATATTGAAAAGTGAATAGTATTACATGTGATTAGAGTTGCAAGTGTTTTCATTTGCATTCTGTTTTGTTGACCTCTGACAAAGTTTCCCCAGAAAAAACCATTTCTCAGGCTCTCCTTTTCTCAAAATATTCTCGTCAAAGAAAGTTTGAATTGGTACCCTAGGCAGAAAAAATAATTTTCCTGAATACATTACAAGCAATATTTGCTGATCAGAGTTCATCAGTTTCCTTCTTAGCAAGCATTCTACGGCTATTTTATAATCCTTGATGAACAAAGAAAGATATTTTGGTCTTCCAATGAAAAATCCACCAGCTATATAATATTTAGTTTTATACATTATTTCCTTTAGAGTAAGCCAGGAATTGAAAAAATCAGCTTGCGAAAATGCAATATGATCATCTTTCATAATTTTGAGCGGTTTCATTACAAAGCAGTCAGATATGTTGCTTCTGAGATAACCTATATCAATCCATGCAAGATATGTCGTCGTGGATATATTTTCTTTTATCACTTTTTCGATCAGTTCATACTTAGCATGCATTGCAGACGAATAAGCAGGTATACCCGGAATGGGGTATCCTTTTTGGTTGTAAATCTCTTTGATTCTTGGTTGCAAACGAAAAGCCCAAAGACTTGTTTGATTTAGAATGAATACTTTGGTCATATTAATTTGGAAGTGTCTACGATATGATTTGAACTGCACTGATAAATCAATTTCATCCGTATAAAGGATAACACAATTGTTCACATACTGAAAATTTTTCATCCAATTATAATATGTGTGTTTAGAATACATCAAATTCGGAGTTTTGTTGAATGAACCTATGTTAAAATATGCTGTGACTAGTGTTAATTCATCTCCATCACCTCTGTGTTGGTTATTTGCCAGACCCGACAGCTGAATTGACGAATTGGACTTCAATTCTGAAACATGAACGTGGTGCATTTATATAATTATATTTGTACACTTTTTGATCATTTGTCAATGATTGTGTAGTAAACTGAAACTGAATGGATGAGTTAAGCCTTTTTGCAACTGATTTTTATAGTTTGTTCTTGTGTTGAACTGTTACACCCCCACCTCAGGTTAGGGGGAAGGCTGGCGCCTTCAAACTAGTTCAACTAGTTCAACTAGTTTCAAATTTATATCTTTATTAGTCTTTGTTTAACCAATGGTTTTGGTTAAACTTCAAATTGATTTGACAACCCTACAATAAAGTCAGTTCAGCTTTTTTGGTCTCAGTATAACTTCCTTATCCAGCAAAGGAAATATATGATAATTGAAAAAATAGTAAAATTATTGAAGCCTCTCAAAATTATGTTAATTGTATTGATAAACCAAAAGGCTATTAGACGCTTTAGGGCACAAAAGTCACAAGCAACATCAAAAACATGTAGAAATTGACAAATGGGATCTAGTGTGACCATTTTACACACACTTTAATTTTGCGATCAAAACGAACTAAGCAACAGCTTTATCCAAAAAGATACCTTGTAGCAAAATGTTTTTTAGGGTAAAGCTGTTGTTAAGGGGAAGATCATATTGATTGTTCAGATGAGGGGGCAGGAGGATTTTGAAAATGAGTATCCTGGCCTGGTAAGAGCAGCAAATAATTTCCTTGCAGAAGTTAGAACGAAAATGAATAGTCTGCGACACAAAATGGAGGAAACAGTTTTGTACAAAATCTAAAATAGATTTTTGTGTGGTGAAGCCATGGAAAAACAGGCATGCGTACCAAATGATGGGCGAAAGATACAATTGGATAATCCAATCTATAAGTCTAAAGACGAGCTGATTATGCCATGTCAAAAAAACCAAAACAAAAACGACCAAAAGAAAAACAGCAGTATTCAAAACACAACATATAAAACTAAAGACTGAGCAACACGGACCCCATCAAAATCCAGGGGTGATCTCATGTGCTCTGGAAGAGTAAACAGATCTTGCTTCATATGCGAGACCCGTCGTGTTTCTCCTATACAATACGTATATAAACGATATCAATGTCATTAGGCATCCGACAATGGCAGATTTGTATTTAACAAAAAGCAACTGATGAATAAATTTGAAAAAAATAGATAATTATCTTGCCCCCTAGAATATCAAATGGTCGTCCCCTAATATATAACTGATAATGACAAGCTAGTATGGCAGTGTTTGAAGTGTTGCACAAAATGCTAGGGTTTGAAGCCCTAATGTAACTATGTTAAAAATTGTATAAAATATAAATACTGATGACTGATAGTTGGATAGTCTAATGTCCTTTGAACATTTAAAGCCAGTTATTGGACTGATTTATAATAAGTTTTGATTTCAAAGGGTAAAATAAATGACCTTAACAAACCCTCTCCTTTAGAGAAGCAAATACTGTTGTTATCCTTAGACTTTTTTCATAGTCACTTCTTCCAACACTCAGGGTGTTATTCAATGAGTAGCTTACTGCTGTTTCTAAGAAAGATTAAATGGATGAAATCATCGAACAAAGTTGAGTCTTTTGAATTATCATCAAAACAATTAACCTACTGAATTAGACTATTTACCGGATTTGAAATAACATAAACAACACAACGGGTGCCACATGTGGAGCAGGATCTGCTTACCCTTCCGGAGCACCTGAGATCACCCCCAGTTTTTGTGGGGTTCGATGTTCTTAGTCTTTAGTTTTCTATGTTGTGTCATCTGTACTTTTATTTGTCTGTTTGTCTTTTTATTTTTGGCCATGGCGTTGTCAGTTTGTTTTCGATCTATGAGTTTGACTGTCCCTCTGGTATCTTTCGTCCCTCTTTTAAATTGATTTCGACAAGCATAAAGTGAGATCTGACATATATCATCATGTACATCTGTTTTTTTTTCAAATTGATACTGATGAATACAGTTTAAGTAGGCTATATGAAAAATGCAGTTTTCCTTTAGTCAACTTCCCATTATTAAGAAGTAGCATAATATCTACCCTTGACTATGGCTGAAATAATATAAGACGGATCCACTACTTATGTGTAGTCCCAAATTGATATCAACAGATGAAGATCAACTATTAGGGTACAGTGTACTTTGATTTTAAACTGTACATACAGAACTAAAAGGCTTCCTGTATAGCTGATACAATTTAATCTGACCAGTGCCAAATTATCATGGACAAATCTGAATTGTACAATAAATCAATGTTATTTTAGAAGTCTCTACTGGATGTCCGTGTCAACACAATAGAGAGTCTGAGATCCTTTAGTGGCTTACTTGTACTTTAAGAATCAAGATAGTGCAATGTGTTGCTAAGGATTTAATGATTTGTGCAGATAGTCTTAAAATTTTCATTGAAAGTAAATTCACATTTTCATTAAATTTGTGGATGTAAAAAGGGATTTCAGGTTACAGAATAGATATATTGATAATATTTAAACAAACAAAATCATAAGTCAGTTGCCAAGGATTATGTTGTTTTGCTAAGGAACAAAAGTGCATCTTTATATCAAGTTATGGAAAATATATAATTGATTTGTAAGCACTTGGAAAGAATTTAAACACATTTTCAGATACGTTGCTGAAAAGTTTTGTACTTGTTTGGAATAAAGACATGTTAACTGTTTTTTTTTTTTTTTTTAATTAATATTTAGGATACAAATTATACAAAATAATTGGAATAAAATAAAGATTGTGAACTGCTCATCATACTCATCTGATTTTTTCTTTACTATGAAGTTGTCTGTGTTCAGTAACTTAAGATTTAACTCCGTTACTAATGAACATATAAGTTACTAAGCAACCATTGACCCATATATGTGCTTAGAGTCTTGACTTTATAATACAAGATTCAAATTTGAATAAATTGGGGAATTATATGTTCTTGGGAAATATTTGCAAAATCAAAAGCTCAAACACATCAAACGAATAGAAAACAACTGTCATAGTCCTGACTTGGTACAGGCATTTTCTTATGTAGAAAATCGTGGATTAAACCTGGTTTTATTATAGCTAGCTAAACCTCTCACTTTGTATGACAGTTGCATACAATTCCATTATATTGATAACAATGTGTTAACAAAACAGACATAATAGGTAAAAATGTCAAAAATTGGGGTACAACAGTCAACATTGTTTATAATCTTAATCACTATAAAAACAAACAAATATGTCAACAAAGAAAAACAAAATGGCATATAGACAAAGAAAATAACCAAAATGAAAGACAAGGATACAAAAAAATTACCATAGCACAATAACATAATGGCGGGATTTATAACTACCGAAACACGCCAAGAGGATATTACCAAAAATGGACTAAACAAGAACGTTTATAACTTAAAAAGATAAATAAAAGAACACTATTACACGTAATCAAGATGATAAACAAAGTCAGTACCTATAATTTATACTTCAAGACCATCATGCAAATTATAGTAATGCAAGATGACATCTTTATGGAATAAGGGTTGATAAATGACTTTTTACAGTATTGAAGGTCCGTGTATATTTGCGTCCTTTCGTTTTTCGTTTTGAAAAATCGAAAACAAAAACGAAAGCGTTTTTGTTTTTCTTGTTTGATAACTCAAAACCAAAACGAAAAACGAAAGTGTCTTCATTTTTTTTATTTGATATCTAAAAACAAAAAATGAGTAAACCAGAGTGTTTTCGTTTTTAGATTTTGATAACACAAAACAAAACGAATAACGACATTTTGTTTCAATTTCTGTATTTAGTTCTAAGTATTTCTTGTTTATATATTGACTTTGGTTTTTATATTTTGTTTCATAGTCAGCGAAATTGAAATATGTCAAAGTAATTCGTTTTCATTTACGCAATATCAACATATAGACGTCAATTTTAATACAGATAAAATAGACCGCCTGACTTATAAATTGAAATAAGTTGATTAATATTAATAAATACAATTGTAATATCAAAACATTAAATGGATTACAAATTTAAATCATACAATGAAATATACTATAAAGATGGTAAATATATATGTCATTACCATATCACACTAACAAGGGAAGTTACTACTTAACTGACAGGAAAACTAGCTCGACAGTTAAATTATACACAGCAGTTATCAGATTAATCGTAAGTAAATCGAAGATAAAGTCGACGAATGAAAAAGACTTTCACAATCTTAACCATACGGGTGCATGATCTATACATGCAAGTTTTGAAACGTAAATAATCGAAGAAGATTCGAATACTGTAAATTCAGAAATTATTGCGATGTTTTTATAATTGCGAAAAATGCGACAGGGTTATAATCGCAATAATTTAAACTCGCGTTTTGAAATTTTGTATATGAATTAAACAGGATTTTTCTCAACATCGCAAAAATTAAAATCGCATTTTAGTCTAAAATGACAAAATCGCAATAATAAATGCACGCAATAATTTCTGAATTTACAGTAGATGACTAAGGTCCATCAGCCAATATAACACGAACATTGAGGACAATAATATGTACAACATGTATACGTTGTTTTGATTAATTTAAAACAAATTGAACACTTAAAAACGAGGTTTAGCAGACCATCTTATGAGTCACCTGCAGGAAGCAGGCCAAAAGAAAATGTATGCATAACCATGCTCTGGCACATTATTGTAATTCACGCGCATTAATTAATTTATACTAGAATATAAAATACATGTATGTGATACGATTTCTACGACTTTTTTTTCATTCAGCTGCAAATCACAAACATAAGGTTGTGAGAGTATTAAGTTTGGCCCGTTTCTTATCATATCGCCTCAATAATCGGTGACATATTTTGTTGGTTTCAACTTTGCCAAGATGATATAATGATAACCATTCGTAACCGTGAAATTACATATGCTGGACCATTTTTTTTTTCAAGCAATTAGGCATCGTAACTTTATTTTTGGCATTTCGTGTCAACCACAGAAATAGCCAACAGTATACAGGCGCTTGATGTACATGTATATA